CAAGCTATGATCAACAGAAGCTAATGAGAATTGAAAAATTTTGCAAATCAAACTTTGAAGAATAAAAAAAATGAAACAGAATCTCCTGTTTTATTTTTTCATACCATTTGCGGATTAGTTTTTAGATTACTGGCAGTTTAAATTGTCCGAACGTGTTCAACATCATTCCGTTTACGAGCTATATTTGTGCAGAACAATTTGCACGGTCTCAACAGCGTATTTCTCGATGGATCTGGATCGTTACATTTCTCTTCAATAATGCCAGCTATGATCAACAGAAGCTAATGAGAATCGATGAATTTTACAAATCAAACTTTGAAGAATAAAAGAAACGAAACAGAATCTTGCCCTCTTTATTTTACAGATTATACACTTTCATCTCTTGATTTGCGACTTAGTTATTAAGTTACCAACAGTTTAAAGTCTGCGAGAACCTTGCGTAATTCTTTCGTGCTATTTGTTATTCGATATGACTTTCTATATACATATAGAGTTTAGATGATGTTCTCTTGATATTAATTTATTACGAAGTAGTTATCAGGGAAAATAGATGTTATCAGCTGTAACAAGCAGAAAATTAATCCCGACACGGTGTTTATAAGTATAATAACTCATTCACACAGTTTACAGAGCAAACTTTTCACCGTTGACCTCCCTCGCGCAATTATCTGCCGGTTTATTTGCAGGTTTTATTCTACGGTACGAAATCTTAATCCCTAGCGTTACGACTATCTAAAAGAATAAAACAGAGGGGGGGGGGGGAAAAAGGGGAGAAAAGTAGAAAGAATCGCGATTATCCGCAAATGTACACGTGCATTGAAACGAAATGCGGCGCGGATAACGTAATTCTCCCCCCGTTTTGACTGCGTTCCGTCGAGTAATCGAATTAGGTATTCTTTATGGGCTCCGCGGGAAACTTCGTTTGATAACGGTCGAAAACGCGCTGTGTACTCACCGTATAATCGAATACTACTCTCGACCTCGCCGAGGGAATTTTTGGCCGCGCACCGGTACGTTCCCACGTCGTTTTTCTGCAAATTCCGGATCGTGAGGCTCATCCGGACCTCGAACGGTGACTTCGTCGTCATCTGGACGTTGTGCCTGACGCTGGATATTATCATCGAACCTGGAGAACAACACGGGGAGTACGCTCGATTATTCCAATTTTATCGGATAGAAAACTGCATCTTGTTTTTCCCTCATGTTTGCGCATTCAGCATTTTTATCGATTGATATGCGGCAGCAATGAAAAACCATTCATTATAAAATTACAGAGAAAACTACAGAGTGTTTTATGGCTATAAGGGAGAAAGAGATTGAAATTAAAGATAGAGATATTATATAAATTTATAATATATTAAATAACAAAATATAAATCTTAATTACGTATCTTATTTCTCTGGAATCATTTCAAGCACTTTTTATATTCGAATACTTTTTCTGTTTCACCCCGATTTTTCAGTCGTTTTGATCAGAATATACTAACAATAAGAGGACAAAATTTAAAACGCTACACGTAGGGTATAATAAGATAATACTAGTATAAAATATTAATTATGCAGTTGTTTGAATGTTATTTCAATTAAACTATGACATATACTTATGTACGGTACTAAGAAACCACGTCTTTTACCATAAATAAGATATCTCGCCCTGCTATGCTTTCTTATTACACGTTGAAACAGTTGCGGATAATGGGAAACAAGTGAAAGGTATCTTCCACGCGAGACGAAATTGCATACGAATGCATTGGAGCGAGGAGCTCCGGATAGCTGAGCGTGTGTTAAACTGAGAGAACGTCTGGCTCTCGCGAGGTGAAATCCACTGCGGGGATATTTCCGCGAGTCTGGATAAGTAGTATTCTCTCTTATATCTATCTAAAGTTTTCTTGAGGGATTCTGAGCCAAGTTATTACACGTTGTTGCGATATGTTGCTGGCGCTCGTTGACATTTCGTACGATTTATGGTACCGAAACAGTTGGCTCCTTACCGCGCAATATTTACAGAGAAAGCCAAAATTTCGAAGAGCCGCTGGCTATTGATATAATTTGAGAAATTGCACATCTCTCATCGTTACGTTTTGTGTTAAATAAAAAGAAAATTTAATTTTGTCCGACGCGTTTTTTATTATTCTTGTTTGCATAAGCTTGGATCGCATCCAATAATGCGAGTAAGTTCCTTGAAACTGACAGTACGATATCGTATCGTCCGGTATCGGAATCACCTAAAGTACGGTCCATAATCGGATTTGTCTTGCGAGAGTAATTAACGTTTGAGCATTTCTCCGCTAGTTACAGTCGGTAATTAGTTAACAAACCAATCGCTATAACGGACTATGCTACTTGTGGTAAACAGTACGCGGGGCAAACTATTTTACGCAGATGTTGGTATTGAATTCGTGTATACACATGAATGGAAAGATATTTTGTAAATTATTGCATTAAATGATAATTTCATTTCACGTGGAAGTGAAAACTCTATTGTTAATAGTTGACTGTTATTATTCAAATTAATATATTTCATTGGTTTAAAAAAAGAGGAAATTAAATTGTTAACGATAATTGTTAATGAGAGATAAATTAGCAGGTACACGTAATAAACACGTGTATCCGATAAAGATTAAAAGTTACAATGTGTAGAGAAATTTAACTTTAGTTACGCGCTTTAAAGCTGCGTTCATTATTCGTGAAAAAATATTTATATAATTCGAAAAATGCAATTTAAAGGCTCGCCAGCTTTATTCTGTATAGAATGTTTCGAAAAAATTCACAGCCAAATATCACGTAACAATATAATACGTACTCGTTTTTTTCACTCATATATCTGTAAACACAATCTGTAAATATAATAAATTATTTGATAAAAAATTAGAATTGTTAATTAATCTATAATTTTTTCTGCCCAAGAAGCGATCATAGAGTTATTCAATATGTAGAAGAGCAACGGAATTAACAGTAAGCGAATATAATTTACATTATTTACAAGATTCGAAGTGAATCTATACGATAATTATCGACAGGCTGATAAATGTAACGAATTAGCAGAATTCCCAAACAACAAATAATAAAAAATGCAGCTAACGAATAATGTTGCCAGTGATATAATTAGCAGGCGTTATAATATGGATTGAAAAAAAACCAGGATGATTAAGTAAAATATTGCGCTGAAATATCGCAGTATTAAATGTGCAAGCCACACCGGAATAACGATCCGTTATGAAACACAAAGGCATAATTTTTTAACGAGGACGTCATCTCACGTGTCATCTCACCCTTGGGGTCCTTGACCCAATAATTAATCGACATCGGGGACGCCTCGACGAAACATTCCAGGATCACGTCGGTCCCCAAGGGCGCGCCGACCAGCTGATTGGGTACGTGAATCACTGGCGGAACTGTAAATCGAAGTCGGAAGATGTTGTTGCATTTCCAGCTTCTCTACACGAGGTACACCAGATATCCAACGGCTCGGATCGTAATCACTATTACTCACAATGAACGTTGATATAAATACGTTTGCTGACCGCGGGTGGAACCCCGTTGCTGGCGATGCACAGATAAACCCCCATCTCGTTCCTCGAGATCTTCGACAGCTTCAGCTCCTCGCCGGAAAATTCGGCCACGGAAGACACTGCGAAACAGCGGGCATTAGTCGAGTATGTAGAAATATTAATATAACAGATGCGATTCGAATCGTTCCCGGATATGCAAGTGACCAACAGTAACTGTTGTACACAGATAATAATAAATGATTCGGACGATTTCAATCGAGCTCTGTTTTCTGACTCGAAGATCAAGAATAAGCATCGGTTATTCCCGGGGACATTTAGAGACCATGCTCTGAATCGGACATGTCGATACGGGATGGTCGCTAAAATTTGTACTTTGTGGAAAATATTGAACGGAGAGACCGATATGGTTATTACATGTCTAATTAGGACTAGCACAACCCCAATAAATAGTAATATTAGGCACAGCTATATCTGTGGTTGTCATACCCACATTGGTATAAGTAGCGGAGACAACTATATACGTTTTGTGCAGCAAACTTGGTGAAACTTAACAAATAAAATCGTTAATCGCGCCTTAAAATTCGCATTCACGATAATCAATGTCAGATTTTCTTATTCTAGTATAACATAAAGTGGATTTTTTCTTGAAATATTGAGATTTAGTCCATTTTATTTATTTTACTGACTGTGTCTATAGTTTACTTCGATAATCTAACATGAATAAGATGCGTTAGTTATTTCCTACAAATCGGATACAAATTTAGTGATTGTGACTCGATAATATTCTACTTTCAAGCAATTAATTATTACGCAAGGTTCAATGAAGCATAGCTAATACAGAAAACAAAACAACTACTTATTAATTAATAAAGATCAGAATTATTCCGCTGCATTGAATGAACACAATAATTAGCATAAAATTAATATAAATAAATGCGCTTCCTTACTTTACCAAAGCTAATTTTTTCTGGAGATTATGTCAATTTAATTATGTATAATTAATTAGTAGAAACATTAACCGACCGTCGATTGTCTCCGGTTATTATTATTTAACGAAGTGCAATCACTATATATAGACGAAAGGAAAAAGAACGTGAAGTGAACGACCTATTATAAAAGCGGTCGATAATCAATAAAACAACAAACACGCTTAATGATATTATATTCGCGCTAATTATGCTTTTCCAATATTTTATTATGGAACATGCGACGCACATTTTATATTTTCGCGTGTTACAATTTTAATGCGAATTGCTAGTCGGAAATTTATTCATCTTACATTTCAGCGCGATTTCAAAAGCCCCAACAGTTTGTGAAAAACTACTTTTCTGATTTGCTCTTTATGGAACTACGTGGAGACTCACGAGAGTCAGTCGTGATAGAAGGATGACTTTCACTTTTGACATATAGATTTTTATTTTCTTGACAATTTCGCCTTACGATTTTACTCGCTTTTTTCACAAAATATTTAATTTTTATATAATTTCACCCTTTCGACCAATTCTTATTATTAGCATCGTTTCATATAATTGTGTTCTTATTACTCTTATTATTGTTCGCTGAAAAGGACCCGAAGAAGGGTCGAAACGTTTGTTATCGATACATTAAAGGAATTTTCCTACTCTCTAAAAGTCAGTCAGTGGATTATCACTGAAAACAGTGAATATTTACCGATTCACATAAGTATAGCACTAAGTTATAAGTGATGAATGCACCGATTGACTTTTAGAGATTACGTTTAAATTTTGAGAACTGAGTTCTGTTCATTTATTGGCTCGCAATGTGTGTGGTATTCTCCCCGTACCGTTTCTAGTTTGTGAAAACTATCCAACGGTTTACTATCGCGGCTTAAGCGCGCGATGTTCCGACGCCGGTGTAAGTTAATCAAAAGAAACATATTTTTGTCGAGCGACGTATCGTTCATTTCTGAATACGCCCGCGAGTGTGTTCAGATGCAAACAACAAATCGCGGCGCACGCAGATAAGACGAGCGCAATTTGTTGCGCCCGCACCTGTTCCTCACCGCGGAATATCGTAAGCAAACGCACGGAGCCCTCCTCACCTGCGGCCTCGTTACGCCACGTCGCAATTCCGTTCTCGCAAAAACATCGATTTTCCCAAAGGTCCCGAGACACACCCGCGTGTTTTCCGCCCCGCGGAATTAATTACGCGGAAACGGCATAAACGTCCCGCGTTTTACTTGCGCCCTACGCAAGCGCTGTGCACCGAACTTAATCGAAGTACCGTCAAATCCCGACGAATTCCGCGAGCCCCGCGTTCTCTATTCAAATTTTAAGAGCGAAAGTTATTCTTTATTCGCGCTCGCGGAAATTAGTTCTCTGCGAATAATATTATTTCGTGGCGGGAAACAAGAACCAGAATTGTGAATCTCTCAGGATCGTGTGGATCGAAAAGATATACGTGTACCTCGGAATCGGAAAACGTTCCGTTCGATGATCAGTCGTATCTGAATTCTTAATTTTATAAATTTCACAAACACAATGTACGTCTTATTCATTAATGCCTGGACTTTAGTTTTACTAGGATTCACATTTTCATAATCTTTATTCCCATCTATATATAATATAATACATCGATGAGTTTCAGACTGTAGTTCACACAGCTTCTACAAGCCTTGCGTCCACGATCCAAGAAATACGAGTATGTTCAAGTTCTAGTTCCGAGAAATATGTAGCCAATCAACTTGAATTTAAATTCATTTAAATTCAGGTTTACGCTCCAAAATTTTCTCCGAGGGACATTTTACTCGTTGGCCACATTCCGAAGTCATTTTGAGCGTTTTCGATCTATTTCCCTAGTAAAATGTTCCTCGGAGAAAAATGTTTCGGAACATAAACTTGAATCTAAATGCGCATTTCTAAACTCATTTAATAAAAAGTGTCGCGACTATTCTGCCCATCACTGTAGAGAATCCAAAAATGATTATCGCTCTTCCCTTCCTGCCCGCTTATTTCTCTCGTCCGACGCTGGCGTAAAACGTCCGGCGTTAATTAAATCTTGCGGCGATCGCGGGACTGCGGCAAACTTTTCCGACACGGCTCCGATAATCACTGCGATTGTAGTGTCGACAATAAGCCGGCGGAGCCGGGTCGTCCGGAGGTGCAGGCTCGCGCTCAGCATATGCTGCACCGGTTGCCGCTCGCGTGCATCCTTGCCGTGGACCACGTCGACAGTACGGCGAAATTTGCCTGCTATTAGTATCACCACGCTGAAGTGAATACTAAATACGTCGTTTAGCCCGAGACCGACGGCAACGCGACGCCTGAGGGCGAAGGGTGAGACGTTCCACTTGGTTCGCTAGTGGCGTTTTCAACCAACGTTCATTTCACGATCACTATCTCGAGCGTTTTCGTCAAGAAATACGCAGGAATCTCATACCGCCGTTTGCATTCGATCTTCTCGACGGACACGCGCGATCTGAGATCACTTCGACCCGCTAATTGTGCACCCACAGAAAAACTTTCCGGATCCAATGCTATTATTGTACTTCAATGTATCATAAAATAGGATCGATATAGCGCCGATCATATTTATTATAGCGAAAGGAATATTTGAATCTTAAATGAGAAATTCTAAAATCTAAGATAAAATGATAGTACGTATCGTCTTTTGTCGAATATCGTGATGCCAAGATGGAGGGAAAATTTATTCTAAACGCAAGAATATATTAACTTACATTTATACAAGTTACTTTTGTTTCAATATAGTAAGTCAATTCGATATTTTTTAATTCGATAGAGGAGAATAAAAATTATTGATTTTATTTTAAACGATATTGTCTTATTTTTATACTAAATGAGGTTGTGAGAAATATAAATGCGTCAAGAATCATCAATAATTGGTCGACACTGACATGATGTCTTCTGTACATCAAATTGATGTGTACATATTAATAGATGTCGACTATACATCGATAAGCTATCGACAGAGTATTATGCGGATCTTCTTACGAAATCAATGAAGAATCTAGTCGTCATCAAATCAAACGGCCCGAAAAATCATGATCGATATCGATTTGATCGACTTGTAAACTTGGGTTGTTACAAAAAATGACGATCAGTCGTTAATTATTAGATCATTTCGGTTTCAGAAGGGAAAATTGGTTGTAAGATCCCCGCAGTGAAAAGAAATTTTTCGCTAATTGTGGTTTGCTAAAAATATTTTGCCGCCGTAGCTATAAATTTCTAAACCACAGCAAACGATTTGCTGTCGCACCTAATACAATAGGCACAGTAGCAAATCATTTAGCTATACACTTTACGACGGAAACTTAGTTGCGCCACATGCAGTTTTCAGCCACGGTAGTCACATTTTTCTTTCCGCGCGGCTCTCAGTTAAGAGCAACTCTCGACAAACTGCCATTTCCTATTTCAAGCGATTCTCCGGTTTTAATATGAACGTAAATTATGAGCGAATCCCGAAGAGGGTGAACGCGTGTGTTCCGTAACTGGCGCGATATTAAACTGGCGGCGGAATTCGACATTACGTTTAATGATCCGCGGAACGAGACGGGCCGGCCGGTTCGGCGGAAGTCGCGGGCGCAGGCATCATCCCGTAACATCAGCGGAATCGGTTTCCGGGCGAAATTCATCTTAAAGCCCGGGACCGCGATTCGTAATGAGGGAATTTGAATACTAACGGGGGGATCGCGCGGAGCGGCACGCGGCGTGTGCGCCTAAGGAAAACATAATTGTATATTCCGCGCTATATCGGCGGAACGGGCGCGGGCGTACCATCTATATTAAATCTTACCGTGAGACTTCTGGTTCGGGGCGCTTCCTGCAAATGGCTCCCGAATTATAATGTTCTTGCCGTCTTCCCGGCGCCAGGATACGCGCGGCTCCGGTACGCCTCTCGCCCGGCACGTTAACTTCACCTGTACGTGTTATGAAACCGGAATTATAAAGAGAAGCGAGTTCGTTATTGCACTCCACTAATGCCGTGCTTCATCCAAATATATTTGGAGGAATATAAAGGAGGGAGAGGGAGAGAGAGACAGGAGAGACGTGCGCGCGCGTGCACCCCCGTCTCTATGTAAAACACGTACGTGCGCGAGAACGCTTGTCCAGAACAATGGTAGCTCGCGCGGATACTCGAGCGGAAAACGAATCTACGGTCGCGAGGGGCATGAAATATCCGGCGTCGGCCGGGGATGCCCGGCGATTTTTAACGGCACCGAGCTCCGGCGATTTTTAACGGCACCGAGCTCCGTCGCGCTGGCACGGTCAATTTTATCGAACCTCTTCCAATTCTCGTTAACGGAGCTTCAATTTAGCGATATTTTCGCTTCTGGGGTGACTTTAATAATCCAAACGATCCGGGGCTATTTTCGGACCGAACCAGGCCAGACACGAGCGAATCAAGTCGATTTTCATAATTTGTCGCTGCAGCGTGTCCCTGCATTCGCGGCCATCAATTATGAATTGTCGGCTTGATTTTCATCGGTGCTACAACGTTGCGGATACTCAATCTAACGAACGGGCCAGCGAGTTGCGAGAAACGTAAACGCGAAATGAATATCCGCGCGTTCTACAATGGAAAATATAAACGGCATGTTGACAATTAACGACACGACACGTGTCGCAGCATACTGGCGCTGTTTGTTGGCTCGCGTTCCACTGACACGTCGCCTGCTAGCTTGCAATATCTGTGACATTTTTGGATGAACATCGTGTTAGCACGATCCGGAGCTGCAGCGTAAGTTATTGCATGTCATGTACTTTGCGTAACTACCTTCAAAAAAAAAGGGTATAAAATAAGACGCGGGTCTTTTAGCTTTTCTAAACGGCTTTTTCAGCTTTTTAAAATTTCTCGACGCTTCAAGTGCACGTTTTAGTAACTAAACACACCTGTCGAAATTTCCAATCGCGTCCTACAACGGTACGATTTATCGAAAACACTTCCGGGAAAGTAAAAACACAAGCACAAATTTATCGATGCGCTATTAACACGTTTGTTTAACATCGTGTCATTAATAATAGCGTATCTGGCCTGATGAAGTTTCAAATATTACTAATTTCATCGAGACGTGGATATAAATTAATACGATGTATCGATTTCAACTAGATTTCGGAAATTAAACATACATCATATTTTCGAGGAATAAACCAATATATTGATTGGAAATGTGTATCGAAAGCATATGCGTATAAATGTATATATTTATACATATATATAATTCGAAGCGTACAATCTCAGCAGAACATTAAACATTCTTTGGCAAGTATTACCACAGAGTTTGGAGAAGCTTAGAGAACTTCGCGTTTTGCCGGGAGTCCTATCAATTTTAGATCAAGACCGCAACCAGGCCGAGGATAGGTATCCCAAATGTGATATCCTTTATTGCTAGAAGAAAATGAGTTAAAAATTAAAATCCCCCGTATTGACATTTGTCTAAGTGCGGCGTGAAAACACATCGCTTTATGGGAAACGCGATACTCCGTGAAAATCTCCGTGAGTGTCGATCCTCTTGGATTCTTTCTTCTTTTTTTTACAGCGGTTCGGTGAATACACGAGAGACGCGTCGTTAATAACAGCAACTATGTAATCTAGGCGACGTGTCAGTGGAACGCGAGCCAACTTAAGACCATAGTCTGGCAAAATTATTTATTTATTTCGATGAATTCGATTTCCGTCATCAGAAAACGGATGGACACTCGCCGAAGTCTCGATTAAAGTTTAAATTTTGTATCAACTTTTTATTTAACATTTACTTAACGCCACGTCGACGGAAGTTTCAATTTTTTAAAATGATACCGCAACAACTGGTAGCCGTATTTGTATCTACTGTCATCGCGTTTATTAAAGTTGTCACGTTGAGAGTAAAATGGTTTGAGAACATTGTTCAATTGATTGTTTAAATAAAATTGCTTTACACGCTGACATATTTCCTTTAATATGTTTACCGATACTCTTCAAATGTGCATATACAAGGTGTCTTAAGACAGTTAATTTTTGATAGCAAAATGTTTTCGTCAATTTAGAGCCGGTTTTTCTCGAGGGGGAAACCGCTGACCAAAATCTTGTACACCAATGCCCACTAATGCTCAGTGGGCATTATTTTATCTTATTATCTAATTTTATCTTTATAATGCCCCAGCAAGGCCTAGTGTCGAAACTAATGCCCAGTAATGCCGCAAATCTGTACACCACAATGCCCTCAGCGGTTTCCCCCTCGGCTTTTCTGTAGCAAAAGTGTTGAGATTTCCGCTTACGTCACAACTTTCCAATCTTTTAAAACATTTATTTTCGTGATCTACGCCTCGAATTAAAATTCTCGTAAAGTAAACTCTACTCAAAGTTAGCTGAAGAATGCTGCAATGAAAATGTAGTTTCGCTGTTTATTTGACTTAAAGTTTAATATATGACAAGTCTCTTCTTTTTCGCTCGCTTATAATTTGGATGCCTCGACGTTTTTCGTTAAGGAAAAAAATTGATCTCAAATTGTCTCGGAGGGTTCCTCTCGTTAAAAGTATCGTTCGGAGACTCGGAGACATTGTATAAAAAATAGATTGTATCAAAAATACTTCACAAACTAACCGTGAGGCTAATGTAGTCTGGGTCTGCAAAGGATATTTTGCAGAAACGAGCAAAGAATTAAGTTTCGTCGTATCAGAAAGAAGTTGAGACTCGTGATTATACAATTCTCCAAGTACACAAATACATCCACGTACTTAAATTATATCCATCAGTCGCGCTATACAATATACAATTCTGTTGCAACAAAAATAGCGCGGTACAATACTTAGGCGTGTGTCCCGACAAACTCGTCAAAAGAGATAGAAAGTAACTTATCAAACTGACAGTTGTACAATTTTCAGTATACCAACTGCGGTAGCTTATAATAGGGGGAACTCGCTATGCGCCGGTATAATTTCAAAGTTTAAAATGGTCCACGATGGTAGCTTCGTGGAGCTGTCGCATCTTCGTAAAAGCGTCCTGTCAGACGTTCCGAGGGAAGCGCAATATTCTTTACCCGAGCGACACCGACGGCCATGCGCGCGGAAAAACGCGAGGATGAGATGAGGTATTCGCACAAATTGCGCGACTGCCACGGAATATGAATTGTGAGCAACAGGTCACTTATTTTCGCTGATGGCTTACTTACAGCATCCGCGGCGCGAACGCCAAGACCGGCCGTAACACGCGTGTGCCAGATTACATTCTCACAATTACGCGTGAAAAATTGCCCGATTAAATGAATTACTTGCGGGCGATTAGGCTCACAATCTATTGCCAGTTTTATACGCGAGACGCACGGTCATACCTTTTTTTGTCTCGCCTCCGAGACTATTAGAATTTCGTCGTTTAAACAGCGTGTCTTTTTCAACCCCAGAATGCGCGAGATTGTAAAACTCCAATTAAAGTTATAACAGAACAACATTTGATAATTATTACGTGTTTGTTTTATGACAGCGTGATGTTGAAACAGCACTCGCAACAGGTGTTGCAAGTCACGAAATCGCTATGACATTATAAAGTGCTGCAACAATACGGTCATTTTTTATATTAATGCAAGTTGCAGTTGACATTCTGAAATGTGACAACTAGTTTTATTTACGCGCGCACGTGTCAGTGTGGGTGCAAATGGAAGACGAGTACGCGCGGGCTCAAAGTTAACAGCTATTTTTAATTTGATATCAGTATCCGCGACCATAAACTTCCCGGCGATCTAAGCAACTTACTACAGTAATTTCGTAATTAAGGCGTTATTAATGACGACGAAGTTGCGGGTTATTTGTAGATTCAGACGCGAGCCGTTGCATACTGCCGTGGCGCACTGCCGTTTTCCGATATAGATTTCTCCGACATGAATCACGCGGAATATAACGTTGGCCCGATAATTTACTACGCACGTAAATCAGCACATTTGTAAGCAATAAACCGTCGTTTATTCATGACTGCTTCTGCATAGAGTAAATTATTTAACGACCCCGTGGCCTAGTCGCTCGCACAGAGCGTCTTTCCTCTAGCATATTTATTCTCAAATTTATTTCCGCATGCAGATGGAATAATCTTCGGGTTTCAGGCGAAAATTAATTTCGTTCGCGAACACTCAATCGCCGTACTCCGAAGAACGGTAGCGCGAAAGAGACCACTGTTCTTTATCACTAGAAAAATTGCGGTCCGCAGGAAGTCGCTAATTAAAAGCTGTCTCTTAATAACCGCGAACTAAAATTACAGAACGACGTAAAATAAGAAAGGATATTCACCTGACCGCCCTCGCCCACCATCATGTCGCTCGATGTAGCTTCGGGGTCGAAGTCAGGCGGCACGACAATAGACAGCAGACCTGTCTGGAGAAAACAGATCAGCGTTAATGAATAACTAGCGCTCATTTCAGCTCGGCGAATAATAGCTAGTTTGTTTTATTAATACTACTATTTCACTTTACGCTCACGGAGGCCGTAACTCTGTAATTACATTCCTCTTCCATTATTTTATTCAACTGTTACATCCAAAAATTCGCATCTGGATTACACTTGATATGAATACGTAACAATTTCCTGCATTATTCGTTGTTCACAATTCCGAATAATACGCAGGCGGGTCTATTCGCGTCTGAATATTGCTATTTGCGCGGCCGATCTGTTATTTTCTTTGCCACGCGCATTTCAATTACGCACATATGGGAAATTCGCGACGGTGACAGGAGAGGAAGCGGCGAGACGCGCGCGCGGTCACGGCTGTAATTATATTTCTTACATCAATTGTCCCTCGCAAAAGCGTAATACCGCGCTTCATCTCGAGAATATTTTTTTCCATTAATACAACATACGAGTGTGACTCATCTAATATGCAGCGTTGATAACAACAGGCGAGTCAAAACAACGGCATACAGCCCGCTTTATTTCCCTCGTCGCGGAGCCCACACGGTGCTCCTATGGAGACAATATTTGGGAAAACTAGTTTTTACTCGCGGCAGATAGACGCAAAATAAAATTGCGAGATTAATGAGAACAAACGGAACCCCGGCAGTCGCGCGCGCGGACTCTTTGAGATTAATTGAATAACTGCATCCGGGAAAAACGTCACGACGCCGGCAACTTATTAGACACGATTCTGGATGTAACAAGCAATTCGCAGAGGCAGTTTATTCGTCGGCTTTTTCCCCCCTCCTTTTCGTAAATTAAAGTAGACTACAAAGTACAGTGCCATAAGGCAGTCGAATAACACGAGCGTCCCTAAATCTCACAAGCGTCTTGCTCTATATACTTTAGCTCGACGCCGGTAACATATTATGGCCGTACAACCTGCTGCCGTTGCTAGTACGGATGCCGGTGTATGTCGCGGGTTATTCGTTAATTAACGGCGCGCAGTAGCGCCAAATATCATAACTAACAGTCGGCGCGATCATTATTGTCCGCCGCGAAGCCTAACAATCACGCACCTGAGTTACAGCCCCCGCACGTGAGTCACGTGTTCAAAAATCTGCTTATTGTTAGCCGCGTTTAATTTATCTATTAAAACACAGAAAGAAAACTATTCTCACGCGTCGAGTATCGTGTGTCGATTAATGTGCTTTCACGCATTCATTTGTTATTAATTCACAATTAGCTTACAAGGGAACGATCGGAAGTATCCCTCACCGACTTCGATGCGCTTCGGATATGTTGTGGAGCATAGAAAAATATTAGACCCGTATTTTTTTTAGCGACTTTTCTCGACGTTAGGGGGTGAAACAGCCCCTCGAAAATAACGGATTTTTGTTCATTTTTAAATGAATATCTTCGAAAATATAAGGTGTATGAAAAAAATGCTCTAGACAAAGTTAATGCTCTTAAACTTCTGCGTTGAAAAACATTTTTTTATTTTTAAAAAATAATGGGGTGAGGTAAATTAAAAAATTTTACATTTTTGAAAAATGTGATTATGCCATTGTGAAGACTATGAAAAACAATCAAACTTTTGTCTAAAACATTTTTTCATAAACCTTATAGTTTTGAAGATGTTCATAAAAAAAAATGAAAAAGTCCGTTATTTTCGAGGGGTTGTTTCACCCCCTAAACGTCGAGAAAAACCGCTAAAAAAATACGGGTCTAATATTTTTGTATGCTCTACAATATATCCAAAGCGCATCGAAATCGGTGAGGGACACTTCCGACCGTTTCCTTGTTAGTGTCATATAAAATATTGTTTTCATGTAACAATAAAAGAGATTTAAATACACTCTTTTTTTCGTAAACATAAAGTTGTAAATAGTAGAGGAAAGTTCTCTATTATGAGATAGGTTTCTAATATAAGTTAGCAGGTTTTCAACACCCAAATTCAGTCACAAATCTTTTTTCCCAACGATTACGCAATCTAACAATGAATTTTCCACTGGAACTTTCCACAGATTTCATGGTGGAATCACCTGATGATGCTTTTAATTTAACAGAAACTCCGCTGTCCCATATTAGAATCCTATCTCATAACAGGGGACTTTCCGCTATAATTCCTCAAATTATTGTACACGAGTTTATTGCTGATTTCGGTACGTCCGAACGATGGCTCTTGATCTGAAGTCGCCGGAAGGCAAGATTAAATTACGTGTGTCAAGGATCCCCGCGACTTATTGTTCAGAGGTAACCAGGTTAACACTCGACGCCATCGAAATGCTGGGATGCGTGGTGCATTTTCTTACAGGGTGCAAAATAATCCTCGGCGACAGAGCGCTTCGCTAAGTAACTACACATTTGACGCTTATCAGCGCGCGGAGGTGCTATCGCGTTATAATTCCCGAGCGAGTGGAGACAGCGGAGCGCAGCGGCGGAATCGAGGAGGTGGATCAACCCCCGAACGTCTGCGTCGGGGACGACTTTCGTCGGCAGTCGCGCGTCAAGCCACGAGACGTCAGTACGAGTGCAAAGACCTCCCCGTCTCCCCTCCGCTCCTGCTCATATCCTCCCTCGTACTTCCCCTCGATTCTCGTTTCGCTCCCTCGATTTAAAGGAAGTCCCGCCGCGTCGTGCGTTTCCCCGTACTCGCTTAAGACGTGGCGAAGGCGCGAGGTGTGTGCGCGCAATTACGAGGATGTAATCCACGCCACGACGAAACTTCAATCGTTATAACCGAGTTGTCTGGCAAGCCGCCGCCGCGCCGCTCGAGAAACAGTCCCGACGAATGCAAACTGCGTACCTACCACCTAACGCGACGACGACGACGGCGATGACGAGGGCGGCGAGACACGTGCCCGAGCGCGTAAACTCGTACGTGTCGCCACTGAATTATGAAACTCCCTTCCTCCACGTCCGCGCGCGCCGTAAATTAATTATTATGCGCCTGCAAATGACTGTATCAATCCGCGTCGTAATTTGCTCAATGAAGCCGCTTCTCGTTGATCGGTCAGTCTCTGGTTTCCCGAGCCATTGATAGCCGCGAAGCCTATTCGCTGTCTGCGCGAGGCCTATTTTCCGCGATTTTCACCCCTTCGAGAAATTATTATTTACCATATAAACCATGTTAGCATTTCCTCAATGTTGCCAGTGATAAATAAATGAGAATAATTTGTCGAGCACAACTGGGCTAATTTATTAAAGTTTAGTGCACAAGTTCGGTCTCACTTCAACTAACAAGTTCTTTTCATTTTTGACCATCGGCAGCAATGGCTGTAAAGGCCCGTGTCCAGTTTCGAGAAATGTGTAGCCAATCAACTTGCAGCTTTTATGGAATAGCTGCGAGTTGATTAGCTACACATTTCTCGGAATTAGAACTTGGACCAAGTTCTATTGTGGACACAGGCTTTAACATTAATTCAGTTCACTTGAAAAGGACCAGAAATATTGGCCGAAACGTCGTGCACTAAATTTTAATAGATTAACCAGTTGTGGTCGGCAAATTACTCTTACCGTATAAAGTAAACATAAATAATTTCTGAGCTTAACAATACATATAGAGTGATAGCGTTATTAATGCAATACTGAGAATAAAAGCGTACGGGTAAGATAAAAACTGTTGGGAATTGATATTTGGATGACGATACAAAAATTATGAACCGTGTGCTGAATTATTTCGATTCACAAAATGTATCATAGGGCAAACGCGTTTGCAAAGAACACGTTCGTGGAAACTCATTATCGCTCGTTAGCTAGATTCGTACCGCAGGATCATTATTAACCCATATGTATGCGCAGTTCCATTCAACATAATCAGGCATGTAGTATAATTGAGAAGCCACACATTGTTTAGTAATAGCGGTATAAGCGAACAAAACGAGTGGTTACGTTCTTAGTGTCTGTAAAATGCTGTGCTGCGCAATTGCGTTAAGAAAAACGTCATCGCCGTGCTCCGAGTTTGAATCGACATCATTCGACGCGACGTAAAATTTCCAGGCGTGTGATAAAAATCAACGATGAAAATTACGAACAAAAATTGTGAACGATTTTAATTAAGCGCTCGCAGCGCGTGATGCGATATGCTAAACGATAGTAGTTAATTTAAGTTTGTTTGTTCGATGAATTAATTTGAAATAAAGCGGAATAAATACGAGATGAACAAAATCATCCACGATTTATACTGAATTGTTGCAAAGGCAATAAAACATTTATGAGGGACACGCGTACACAGTATTTTCGTGAGGTTCGATTCAATTACCCGACTAAATCAGTGCGTTTCCGTCGCCCTGGAATTATGCAGATGGCTTTGAAGAAGTGACGCGAAATTTCAAGAAAGACGACGCACATGCCGACGTTGCAAGCCGACGCCCCTCCATACGTACACGTAAATTTTATCAGACACGCAGTCGGAATTATAAGCGACGCGCGAAGGGCGCCACCGTATTCGGCAACGAGGAAATATAGTTACGAGAGGCGAGACGGCATCCTTTGCGGAGGGTGACGGGGTCGTGTTTTAACTGTTGATGTAAGTGTATGCGCGCGGAACGAGGAGAAAAGAAACGGCGATCTGAAAGTTTCCCTCCCCTACCGAGGGGGAAACCGCTGAGGGCATTGTGGTGTACAGATTTGCGGCATTACTGGGCATTAGTTTCGGCACTAGGCCTTGCTGGGGCATTATAAAGATAAAATAAGGCAATAAGATAAAGTAATGCCCACTGGGCATTAGTGGGCGTTGGCGTACAACATTTTGGTCAGCGGTTTCCCCCTCGGAAATAACGGAAGAGCTCTTATGGAGGAAGCATTTGTCTACTTGTCATCTCTCGTCAATCGTTGACTATCGGTCGTTTTTAGTGATCCGATGAATGGGGAACAAATTTCGACATGGGTTTTCAAAGCGTTTGACGGATTTTCTAAACACTACATATTCCCAAATTTTCCCGTTATATAGAAATAATAACAGAAACGTCTAGTGTATAACG